GTCCAACAAGGTACTCAACAGCTCCATTTTATTGACCAATATACATCGCAAATGTAACAAGTCAACAACCAGTTTTCTCTCAAACCTGCTATCTTGCAGTGCTCCTTGGCTAATAAATGACACCTCCATTCTTTTAAAATTTAAATATTATCATGCCATGCCTTTACTTAACAACCTCCAGTGTTTCCTTGCCTTGTATAGGCTGTCCATGACCTGTTCCTTGTCACTGCTTTGCTACTGTCTTTCATATTTTCCCCTGGTCCACTTTACCTCAGCCACATTGGTCAATTTGACCCAGGTGGCCTTTGTATCTGTTGTTCTCAGTTCCTGGACAGCTCCATTCCAAATGTCCATGTAACTCTCTCTTTTTCTTCTTTCAGGTTTCGCTTTCTTATTGCAACCTTTCCTGACCACCCTATCTAAAATTGCAACCCTGCTTTCCCATACACACACTCCTAACTCCCTTGTCTGCTTTATTATTGGCCTATGACTTGTCATAAGCACACTATACATTTAGCTTGTTTATTCTGATTATAACAAAATCTCCTCTACTAGAAATTCTTTTTTGTTCACTCTTGTACCCCATCACCTTGAACAGGGGCTGGCACAAAATAGGCCCTCAGAAAATATTACTTGAATGAATGAAGGTAGTCAGTGATAATAAAATAAGCTACCTTTTAGGCAAAAAGGTAAGTAGAAAGTAAATGAGGAAAGTATGTCATACATGTTAATGCATAATGCATGTTAATTATTCCAATTAATACTATATCTCTTGTGTATCTGTTGAAAATAATTTTTATGTGGGAACTGCAGGAAGGGAAGGAGAAATTCTAGTTAAAAGGGAGTGGTATGGAAGTATGTGGTTTTGCAAGTTAGCCTCAGGCAAAGTAAAGAGAGCTTTGGAAACACCCTGGAGTTTGGCCCGGATCACCAGCTCCCAGGTCCGCTTAGCAAGTGAGGACATGAAAGAGGAAAGGGCTGGGAGGCAGGCTGGGATTTGTATGGGTAGTGTCATAGGGTCTGTCAGCAGTCTTCTGGATGGTTCAGGGTGAGACCTCGAGGCTCACAGACTTCTATGTGCTCATGTCCATCTTGAGCACCTCTAGCAGTTTTCAGTTTCTAGGGCAAGAGTCCAGGCTTATAGTATTTGTCTATTTCTAGGGCTAGGTGTGCATACCCTAAAGGAAGTGCTTTGCTATGGAAATATAAATCTTTATGGTGGGTAACAGCAACGATGTCTCTATTATGCTGCTTTGTGCCTAACACATAGAGATGTTACATGTGGTTTTCATAGGTTGGAGTGAAAATTAATTTGCAAAACATATTTTAAAGTGAAAATGCTTAAAAACTGAGAACAAACTGAGGGTTGATGGGGGGTGGGAGGGAGGGGAGGGTGGGTGATGGGTATCGAGGAGGACACCTTTTGGGATGAGCACTGGTTGTTGTATGGAAACCAATTTGACAATAAATTTCATATATTGAAAAATAAGAAAGAAAATGAAAAAAAAATAAAGTGAAAATGTAATTTTAAAAAGGCACTGTAATTTTTGAAGCTATAAAGGATATATAATTCTTAAAAGTCTTTGTATCCAGATATAGCTATTTGATTAGCTGATACAGCCACAGTCCATGAATACAATTCCTTTATAAATCATATCACCTTTGCATTTTATAATAAAAAGTTGATTTTCACAGATTGTCCCTAGACTTTACTATTTAACTTCCCTTGTTTCCATTAAACAGTCCTGGGGACAGAGGCACAGAGCCTGTGCAACTTCTATTTTTCCCACTGACAGTGAGAATAGTGTGGGGAGGTACAAAGAGATATTATTCTCTGTAACCATGTATTATCATATAATATTTTACAAATTTTTCCCTGTTGCAGAAAGGAAATACTGGTAACCTCTATAATACCTGCCTCAGCCTTTCTTTACAATTTGTAATTGGTTTCCCACATGGAGTTTGAACTTCGCTTGCTACACTGCTACAGATGTGGCCAAGAACTTCTTATCTGTGAAGTTAATTAAAGGGCTGGATCTCATTTCTTTCAAAGTGGTGACCTCAGACTGTACACTAGGGTGGAGAATATGTGAGCGTGTGCGTGCATGTGTGTTCAAAATATGTACATATGCTAGATATGCATATATTATGAAAGAAAAATAAGTAGAAAATGACAAATCCTGAGAGAAAAGCAATGAAGAAAGGTATGAGAAGGGAAAGGAAGGCATTCATTAAGTTTCTACTATGAATCAGGCACCCAGGCAAGGAGGTAAAGGGGGAAACAAAGATGGAGGGATGCAATACCTGGATGTTAAAGAATGAACTTGTAAAAATCCCCTTTCTTAGAGAAGAGTACTGTAAGAAAGGATGTTGGCAGTCCATCAGGGAGTGCTTGTCAAGTCATTCAGAGGAGAACAGAAGTCTGTGGGGCACTGATTTTGGCTTTGTCTCCCCTAGGTGCTGGGTTGCTATCTCGCCATGGGATGAGTTAACTTTGAAGTTCTGCTGAGCAGTCTAGAGAGCATGACTTAAAAGTGCGAGTCCCTAACCAGAGTTCAGTTCCCTAGAATACAAATGCTCAGAGAACCAGACAAGGTCAGGAAAAACCAGCCCAAGGCATTTCCCTTTAAACCCTAGGGAATGCAATAGTCTCTATAATTAAAAGGATTCCTATACCGGAAGTTTCTAAGTATTGGTATCATTTTTTCTTCATTTTTAAAAACTGTGGGTCCTTAAAATGTCTCTAATTGTATCTTTATGATTCCTCTGATTGTAAGAGGGGGAAGGGTGACCTTGCAGAGTCCCTGGGGAGGCAGGAGATAGGGTCAGGTCCAGCTGAGCTTGGGACATGAAAAGAGAAAGAGAAGAAAACAATTAACTATTTTAGAGAGCTTTAAGGTAAGTCTTCAAAAACTCCTATTTAGGTTTTGCTAAGATGTCACTTTGGCTTCCCCCACTCCCACTGCCCCAATATCACATCAGGTATCTTCAGCACTGATGAGCTTATTATAGAAGATTCTCTGCCTCCATTTGCATTTTGGGGTAGATTATATTTTGGTCCAATTCTTCATTATTCTTTTATATCCATACTCCTTACCATATAACCTTGTAGTGCTTTCCCACTGTGGGCTGGTGACCTGCTCAGTCTCTTGACCTTGGGCTCAGGCATGTGATTTTCTTTGGCCAGTAGGATGTGGAAATGTGATGCAAGCAGAGGCTTGAAATGAACTTGCACATTGGGGCTTGTTCTTCTGCTAGGAGAAGAATGACAGGTGGCACTGGCACATGCCCCAGCCAAGCCCACCTTAGACTTAAATCCTGCAGATGTGTGCAAAATAAATGTTTCTTTTTGAATGCCACTGAAGTTAGGTTGTATGGTTGTTTGTTACACAGCAAAAGGTAACTAATACAAATGCCATTTGATCCATGCTCCCCTTCTTTGCCAGAGTGATGTTTCTAAAATGGAACACCACTTATCCTAAAATTACTTTGCTTAAGATACATTAGTGACTTCTTGTTATGGGCTGAACCCCACCCCACCCCCCCCAACACCAACTCCCTACCCTTTGTCAAATTCATATGTTGAAGTCCTAACCCCCAATATCTCAGAAAATGACTTGATTTGGAAATAGGGTCATTTAAAATATAATTAGTTGAGTTAAAATGAGGTTATACCAGAATAAAGTGGGCCTCTAATCTAATGTGACTGGTGTCCTTATAAAAAGGGGAAATTTGGGGACAGACACACTCTTAGGAAAAATGTCACATGAACATGAAGGTAGGGATCAAGATGATGTGTCTACAAGTTGAAGAATAACAAAGATTGCCAGAAAACCACCAGAAGCTAAGAGAGAGGAATAGAACAGATTCTCCTTTACGGCCCTTAGAAGGAAATAATCCTGCTGGCACCTTGATCTTAGACTTCTACATTTCTCAGACAATACTTTTCTGTTGTTTAAGCCACTCCCCATTACCTCTAGGATAAAGTCAAAACACTCTTTCACAAGGTATGAAAGTCCTTTCATAAACTGGTCTCTGGCTTTATCTACGGTTTCAACCCTCTCTGTAGCCTTACCCCATTCCCTAGCCACACAGAACTAGTGACAGTGCTTTGATCAACTGCTTCAGAGATTTTGTCCACCCTCAACTTTGGTTTCAAATGCCCTTCATACTGCCTTCCCACCCCCTACTAGGTTCCACATGATTACCTAATTAACTTCTATTTGTATTTCAAGCTTAAGATCAGATATCATCTCTGGAAACTTTCTCTTCACCTTCCCAATTCTAGCTACAAGACGATGCCCTATTGAATGCTCCCCAAACACACTATACAGATATTTCTATCACAGTCCATATCACACTGTGGATAATTAGTTGTTCATTACACGTCCTTACCCTCATCAACAGACTTGATAATGAACATCTTAAAGACAAGGTCATATCCCATGTCCTTTTATTCCTAGTACCTAGCATAGTGCTTGGCACAGAGGGGCTGTGCAGCACATATTTGTGTAAGGAATCTATATCCAAACACATGTGTTTTTGGCATATGGAAGCTACATTCCGCTAGTGTGACAACTGGCAGCTGAGTTTACGGAGTAGCAAAAGCACCCAATTAAAGACCAAACATCACTTCTTTATTCTTCTTCATTTCCTTCTCTCTGTATAACTACCCAATCTCACATGCTTTATAATGCTTTTAGATGTAAGTGACTGTGAATTATTACCGACTGTGGGCCTTTCATCTTCAAGACTGACAGTCTATGTTCCACATTTCTCAGGAGGGAGAGACTATTATAACTATATTTTTGCTTACCAAGAGAATTGTTAATGGTTATCCTGGAGGGAAAAAAAATCTATAAATATCCAACCTATAATGAAGCCTTAAGCATACTTTCTTCCTTCGCTAATGAAATTCTTTCCAAGTGCATTGGCAGACTTGCTACATAACCATTACACTGTGAAAAGAGACAAAGCCCGTAGTGAATTTTTTCTTTTACCTGTTTAGTCCTCGTTTTGGAATCCAATGACAGATTGTTGTAGGTATAATGTGCCTGGGTGACTCCACAGAAAAGAACAGCGACTATTCCTGAAATTGAAAAACATACTGGTCAAAACCAATTTTCTCTGCCATCTAAGCCAAAGGGTAGGGCCACCTCAGCTAGATGAAGATGAACTAGGTGTCAGTAGAGCTACTTCTAACAATTGCCATGACGTAATAGTCTCTAAAATTAAAAGGATCCTATATTGGGGTATACCTTGCTACTTATTTTAAACATGGGTCTTACAGGATTAACCTAAAGAAAAGAATTAAGAAGTACCTTCTTCTCTTGTCAAGAGTTAAAAAAGTTATGCTTGGAGAAACATGAACAAAAGACTATATAATCAACTCTGGGCTTCTCCTAGCCAGTGCCAACTGCTTTTTTTGCACTTTATACTAAATGCTGGCATATTCGCTCAAACATTGGCTTTTCACTGGGTACCCTGATGAACCTGAAGAGGTTCCTATCATACACAGTATTAAAAACCATGAATCACAGACCTAAGAAATCCACAAGGGTTTTGTTGCTCATGCTGATGCCTCTACTTGCCAAGCACAAGAGAAAGGTCCTTGTTTGCCCCTATGCCTCCTTGACAGAGCTGGGAGTTCTGTTAATGCTGCTGAAGAATCACATGAGCACATCCAAGGCGCACACTCCTTGCAGGTAAGCTGGTCTGTTCTTGTGTGTTTCCAACCCACAGTGGGCTCTCAGCTGCTTCTAGGCTAGCTGCAGGATTTATTTCTTAAGCCATCAGTATACCCAGCTTTTTTTTTTTTTTTTTAAGTTTTTAAAATTTATTTTTGAGAGAGAGAGAGAGAGAGACTGACTGGGCACAAACAGGGTAGGGGCAGAGAAAGAGGGAGACACAGGATCTAAAGCAGGCCCCAGGCTCCGAGCTATCAGCACAGAGCCCAAGGCAGGGTTCGAACTCATGAACCATGAGATCATGACCTGAGCCAAAGTCGGCTGTTCAACTGACTGAACGATCTAGTCGCCCCCAGTATACCTAGCTTTAAATGATACATGAAACCATACATACATTAGATGTTTCCTGGGGACAGAGGAGTAGCAACCCTGAGACAGATGTGTCATTTGTCTCTGGGCTGTTATTCTCTGTTATCCCTCCTGAGCTGGGGTATGGAAGTGGTGGGGGTGGCATTCTACTTTGGATTAAATATTCTATTAATTATGGGAAATTGAGCGTAGAGCAGGGCTTTGGGAAAAACACAAGATGTAAGTATTCCTCAAGTCAGACCAAGGGGATTGAATTGAATTTCAAGCAGCAGAATCTTTCCAACTAAAAACACTCATAAATTAAATGCTGATGATTCTTAAGAGTATAGAGATATGTGAACTGAATACTGACATCGCAAATGAATCTGCAATAAAGAATTTTAAAGAACCAAGCATTTTTTAAAATGTTTAGACTGGATGCTTCTATTTATACGTCGGTTATTTCTTGGATTGGCTTTGGATAAAATATTGCTATGGCACATTTACCTAGTACAAGTGCACAAACATTTGTATTACTTATTTTCTTTTAATATGCTTCAAAATTTTAGGCAAAAGGATAAAAATGACTAGGAAATTTTGCCAAGAAATATATATGCAGTAAGCATTCTATAGATTTTTGGGTAACTTTTCAGTTTCTTAGCCTCTTCTCAGAAATACTAAGAAAAGGATGCTTACAAAATATTATATGTCACTCTTCACAAATATTCTATTAAAAAACAACCAATACCAGAGAAACTTTTAGGGTACTGAAGCACTTTAGGTACTCGAGGCACTAGGAAGATTGCCATGCATGTTATTTTGTTATCAAATATTTTTCTTTCTTTATTTAAAAACATAATTTATCTCTCTCTGCTGATTCTGTAGTCTGTTGGAGATTTTTCTGGGTGAGGTTTAGCTGACCCTCCCACTGATGTGGAAATGTTTTGATTATATATATTGATTTGTGGAGAAGTGGTGAATAAAAAGGGTGGGAGTACGTGTGGGTAGTACCTAAATGTATTCTGAGAACAAGTGGTAACAAAGAAGTGTTATAAAGGATAGGGAGGGGATTTAAGATCTGCTGAATGCCTACAGTGAACCAAGAATGCACCATTTTGTAAAAATCATTTTATTTATTGCATTGATTTATTACCTCACAACAGGCTTAGCACTATTAACCAGCTCTTCCTACTGTCTTCCCCTTTCCAGTAACAGCATCTCCATCCTTCTTGCTGTTCAGGCCAAAACTCTGGGATCACCCTTTACTTTTCCTCTCTCTGTAAGTCAGTGATTTTGTTGGCTGGTCCTTTGAAACTTACCTGAATCCAGCCACTTCTCAATGCTTCCTCCCCTAACACTCTTTTCCAGGCCACCATCACTTTTTTCCCCCCTAGATTACAGATTCCTGATTGGTCCCCCTGTGTCCACTGTGGGACTCTCACAGTCTAGCTTCCATACAGCCAGAGTGATTCTTTGGACAATTCAGATCATGTCAGTCCTCTGTTCTAAACTTTGTAATGGATCTCCATGATGAAAAGGCCCTGTAGGATCTAGTCCTGCCTCCTTCTCCCCTTCCTACAGATCTCTGAGCTCATCTCCCACTATCCTCACCCCTTGCTGTACACTATATCCTTGCTAAGCACGTTCTACTGCAGTGTCTTGAGCTTCTGGTTCCCACTGTTTGGAAAGCTGTTCTTCATATATCCACATGGTTCCCTCCCTCCCTTAAGATGTTACATTATCAGACAGGCCTTCTCTATGCGTTCTATAAAAATGGTCCTTCTCATCATTCTCTACTTGCCTATCTTGCTTTATTTTTGTATATTATTCACTGCCACCTAACATTTTCTATATTCATGTGTTTATTTTCTGCTTTCCAGCATTGCAAAGGAAAGCTCATGGAGTACACAGGGATTCATTGGTCCCTAACCCTTTGAGCAAAGCCAGGCACATGGTAGGCATTCAGCGAGTGGTTGAATAAGTTAATGAATATCCCTATTCCCATGTAACAAGAAACAAAAGTAATTTACTCAAGGTCACCTTGAAAGTGGCAGAGCTGAGATTCACAATTTCACAAACTCCCTGTGCTTTTCTGCCTATATTAGACTATCTGTGAATGTTTTAAGGTAATCTTAAACCATCTGAAAAAATATCATTTCTGATGTCCCAGGGAAATAGAGATATGAGGATTACATATCTGAGATGGCTGGATATCTTGTTTTCCCTAGTAGCTTCATTGGTTTTCCTTTCTTTGCCTCCATTAGACTACTAACAGGCAGTGTTTCTGCTAATCCTTTTTTTTGTTTGTTTGTTTTTTGGTTTTTTTTTTAGCTCTGTGTATAGATACGTCACACAAACAATGAAAAGTGTACCTATCTGACCAGATGCTCGGTGTTGTAATTAAAACAACTAAGCTGATCTAACCCTTAGTATTAGCTACATAATCATAATTCTATACCTAAGTAATTAATTAACTCACACAAATTACTGTAATTAGTATGACTTTTACAAGCCAAAACATATTTTGAAAATGTCTCATCTAAATAAACCTATTATCTATAAATTCTCTGCCATGTAAGCAAATTCAGAGTTAAGAGTTTTCTACCTTACAGAAGTATATTTTAATTGTCATTATATTTTTGCATACCTCTGCCTGTTAGTACTAGTTGTACTACTGTTGTGTGGGGCCCTAGACAACTCTCTTACATGCTCTGCAACTCAGATTCTCAGCTGTACGAGGAGAGGGAGGGGCACCAAGTGCTCTTCATGCGGGTCAGTAAACTAGTGTCTCAGCTCCAAACCCAGCCTCTTGTGCTTGCCCTGTGATATGGGCCTGGGACCATGCAGACCACATCTTCCTTTGCCACAGCCTGTTGAGCTCTGCTAATATGAGTCCCAGAGGGAGGCTAGGATGTGAGAAGGGGAAAGGCCTTGCTCCCTTCCTGTTTGCTTGCTGCTCCTGTCAGTTGCATCTCAGCCATGGTTCTTCTCCATAGCTTTTTGAAATTGGTTCCAGCCTCATAGGCCCCACTCAGAAGTCTGGTTCCCAGCTTCAGCAGTTACCTCTTAGGAAATTCTAGATTCTCTTCCCTTTGCTTCTCCTGGCCCAGGGTTTACACTTGCTTCCTGTAATTACTACCTGTGTTGCCTCAGTGCCCCCGTTCTGTTTTTTCAGGTATCTATCATCTGTATACTCAATCTCCTGCATTAAACTCTGGGCATAGCTAGTTGGTTTCTCTTTTCCTGATGAATCCTGACAAGTCCTCACTTGTGGGTCCCTTCTCATTGTAAACTTTGATGGTTGTCTGAAACTACTGAAGCCATGTCATCTGGAAATAAGATCCAACCTGTATCCTCCTGTTATGACTGGGACAACAGGGGATGTCAATGGCAGCTGTGATGCCATGCCAAGTTCCATTCCTACTTATGGAAGGAATTGACATTTTTAAAAAGTGATGGGAGTTTGAGCCAGTAGATTAGAACAAGAGGCTTGGGGGAAGGGAGTAAGTTAGGGCTAGAACTACTAGAGAGGCATGGGCTATACTTGGACTTGTGTCTTCTGATTTCCAGTCACATGATCTTTCCAAAATATGAGCACTATCCTACAAAGAAGTGACTGCCTTGAAGTGTGAGAAGTTTCCTATGATCTGAAATGTTTGGGTTGAATGATTATCTGCCAGAGCTGCTGTGGAAAAAATTTCTTTTCCTAAAGTTTGGATATCCTCCAATTGTGTGGGTCTGTCATTTTCCTATATATTACTTTATTAATTCACTAGGATTAACACCTCAATTTAGTCTTTTTTTGTTTTTGAATTTTTATTTGTTTTGAGAGAGTGTGGGGAGGGGTGCACAAGTGGGAGAGGAGCAGAGAAAAGGAGACGGAGAGAATCCCAAGCAGGCTCTGCACTGCCAGCACAGATCCTGATATGAGGCTCCATGCCATGAACCATGAGATCATGACCTTAGCCAAAACCAAAAGTCAGACACTGAACCTACTGAGCCACCCAGGTGCCCCCCTGACCCTTTTTTAAAGTTTAGGACAAGGAACTAATAC